CCCCCCCCCCCCCCCCCCCCCCCCCCCCCTCTCTCTCAAAAAAAAGCTAAATGAAAAGACCGAGCCTTGGCTGAGTGATTCCCGATCTGCCACTTAAGGCCGGGGGCTGATTGTGCCAGCTCATGTTCAGGGTCATGCCTGTGTCACTTAGAGACTCTCTAATGAGACCCAGACAAACACACTGTGCCCAGTTGAGCATAACCAAAAAATCGAAAAGCCAACCAGAGCACGAGAGCACTGGTGCCTAAGAAAAAATATATTTAATGCAAGGCCACTACGTGATGCCCACTAAGAGAAAGGGAGAGGAGACTTTGCTCATTTTTTTTTAATGGCTCCAAAAAGTTATGATCCAGCTATTTTATGGAAATGATCACAGAAAGTTGTTATGCAGCTCGTCATTCAAAACTGTGGAGATGAGTGAAGCATTTGAAAGGCTCAACAGGACCTGTTGACCTGTCCTGTAAGGCTGTTGGTTCAGCCTTAAGCTCTTGAAGCCAAGCTTGAGTGAAATGCTGTGTTGTGTATCAGTGATATTCTTGACAGACTGACAGGAGCTACTGAGAAAGATCACTCACAGAGAGACAGAGTGAGGGACAGGATGAAAGACAGAGACATTCAAAATCCCAAATTCTAAAGAAGTTATTAAGATATTCTACCCAGTGCCTGTACATTACAGTATCCGTAGAAAGCACCTGCCAAGGAAAACTGACTTTTTTTAAATAGCTGTTCTTAGAAACTTAAATTTAGGTGATAAATATACAGTGAAATATCTTTATATCCAGGTATTAGCTTGCCTGGCCACATACTGTTTAGTAAAACCTCTGGTGGGAACGCACTGCACAACACAGCACAACACAAGAAATGCCCCGAGGAAGGAGTTGGGGGATGAATGGAGAATTTATACAGTGTTGAGCTCACATGGGTGTTGTTCAACATGAATATTCAATACACACCTTAGAATAAACCACTGTGTTCCTATTTCAAGGAAATTCCATCTGGGATTATGTTTCAAGGTTGAATTCAAAGAGACAAATGATGATTATACAGTTAGACACATAAAGGTATTGCTATATTCCCAAAAAATGCAAGTAAATGCTGTGCCACATGACAAAACTCAAGTAAAAGATGAGGTAAACTGAACTACTCTATTGTACAAGTTCAGAATACAACTTTTGGTTGTTTTCCATTCAATGTCGTTTCCTTTTTAAATATGACATTTTAAACATCTGTGTTTCTCAAACAGCAAGAATGTGTGTTAACATTCATTTTCCAAGTATTGGTGAACAATCTAAAAACGTCCTGAGATTTGTTGAAACTGCGTGCAAGCACAGCAGCAAAGTCAGAACCAATTCTTGCACATTTGGCAAACAACGCTATCCTGGCAAAGAGCGACACAATCTGGAAAAGAAGCTGCAGCAGATGAAACCATTACTAGTTGGATGGATATATTACCAACAGGTGGAGTTTGTATTGGCCTTGTATCAGCTTCCTGCCGTCGTTATATTACCAGGAGACAGGAGTCCAGAGGACAATACTGTCTACAGGAGTTGCAAATATACATTGACCCAAATACTAAAATACTGCACTCCAAATATGCATACAGGACCAGATGATGTCCCTGTTTCAGATGACATTACGTCTCCAGAGTCAGAAATCGCTTGTAAGTTATTTAAGAAGCTGTGCAGACAGGCTACAACTACATAACCACGACATTTTGTTTTACCTAAGCGATCAAGAGCTTCTATTGAGCTAATCATATGTGCATGTTCTGTAGAAAAGGCAAAAAAGTCTGAATGTTTATGCGTAGCTGCTCGAGCTGACAGATCCCCAAAATAATCCCATTGACACAAATGAAAATATTATTTCAATTATCCAGAGGAAATGACGTTTGGAGTTGCTTCAAGAAAAAAAATGTCCCCAGATGTTTGATGAAGCTCTGGACGCAGTCATACTCTAAGTGCAAAAAAATTATATTGGAACCGTGTTTGTGCCACTTGTGCTGGTGCAGAATCAGAGGCCTTAATGTGTTACATTTGCAAATACCAGCCACTGCAATGATGGTGTCCTTACCCATCTGCGAGCTTGTGAATGTTTCATAATAAGTTAGGCCAAATTAAGATCTTGGCACTCAGGGTTTAGTGGGGCGCTTGATTAGGATCACGCATACACCCACACTTGAGAGCCTGTTAAAAAGTCTGTTTAAAATGTCAGAATCAGAGGGCCCGGCCCATTCAGCATTTTATGTCTGGCTCTCTTTCCCATTCGCACTGATGTGCCGGCTGGTTTTTCTCACGGGATCATCGAGAATGACGAGCTGCCATGCACAGATGCTAATCCAAGGCTACACATCCTTTTCCTTCAAAACTCAAGGCTAAGGTCTTTGTCTGAGACTCAAATGATTGATTACTAAGTGAGTAATATAATTCACTGCCTGCTGTAAATCAACAAACATGTTGCTCCTTAAATCTGTAGGACAAATATAAACATAATGAGATTCTGCTCCAGAGTTCTCATAGCTTTTCATGTTCGTTCTTTGTAAAGTTTAAAGTGCAGTGCTGCACCACCAACACATGTGGGATGACGGCTTCACGGCTGGCTTTGAACGCATTCTCATTAGCATCTCGCTCTCTTACACACACACACACACACTAGATTTTCAAAATTCAAACGTGCAACAAACACACAGAAACACAGCAACTGTTTACTCACTGATTCCTGGCTCTTGTCCTTTGCATCATACACAGTTAGCTTGACTAGTGTCTCTGGGCTAGCAGGATACTCTGAAGGGAAGGTCACCCCCGTCAGGAACAGCGGGTCTTTGTTCGCCTGTCAGAGAGAGGGACAACACAGAAACAGGGTGAGACATGTGTGTTTGTGTGCGTGTGTGCATGTGTGGTGGTGTGTACTCTTATATGCACATTTGTACTGCAAAAAAAAAAAAAAAAAAAAAAAAGTCAGGAAGCCGAAGGGATAAAAGAAGAGAGGGAGACTTGGGTGGATGAATGAGCCAACAGCTGGGCTGAGTCCGTCCTCCTCCTCCTCCTCCCAGCGTTTCACCCCATTCCTCTCGGCTCCCCAGCTGCCCAAGCTGCCTCTCCTGGGCACAAAAGAAGGAGAAGATAGAGCTCACCCTGGTGGGTTTACCTGGAGCTCTGGCATAACTACAGTCTCCCAAACGAGACCGCAGGTCAGGAGCAACAAGTGTTGACGGGTAAATTGGCACAGCGATGGGATTAAACCAGTGTTCCCAGCACCCAGTGTTGGGTCTTCAAACATACCAGAAGGCTGTATGGCATTAGCAAATACATATTCATAAGCAATCAGAACCTTTAACTTCCATGCCTTTTGAACCGCATGGCTTTTTTTACGATGGCCTTCAAAGACCTTGCTTTCATTGCACTGTAAAAATGTCTTTACAAGGTTGTTACTGGTATGTACTTTAAATTTAAAACCTTCTCTTAAACCACTGCAGTGCATGCAGAGTGAGGACCTGTATGTCCTCTGTTTCACCTGTTGGGAGGATTTGTTTTTGCCAAACAGGAGAGAGAATCATGAAATAAGGCAGGTTTCTCTGCCATTTTCTAGATATTGTGCCCATCTACAAATATTCTAAAAAAAGGGAACAATTCTGAGAGTTTCCAATTTTCCGCCAAGTGGAAGTGGCGATTTAAAAACATATGTTATGATTCTAAGTGTAGTTAGAGATTCACCTGGCTAAGGTGCATACCATAGCTAAAATATGGCTTTGAGTCGATTCCTAGCGCAGGAACCTTTTCATGTCTCTCACAATCATACTTTTCTTTCACTTTAATCTGTTACTTTATGGAATAAATTCCCTCCAACATAAAGTCGGAGATGTAATGGATGTTTTGAATCTGCAATAAATCTTAATATAAGTAGATTGTATTGCACCAGGAGCTGAGGGGCTTTACTGGGAAGTCTCGAGGATTGTTTAGTAATTTGGTGTTGTCTACTTGAACCAATTCAAAGCACTTTGTGTTTACACTGGGGGCTTCCTCTTCCTCTGCTCTGCTCTGATGGGCGTTTCTAGAATGCAGCCCTCTGCGACCGTTTGGGGACACACTGGGGAGCAGTAATGAGACTGACATAGACAGACTGGCAGACATATGAATGTATGATCACACCCCTGACTTAACAAAAAAAGCAGCTGTTAAGAAACTAAGGTTAATCAATAATAGATACCTTGGTATGTGACAACTGTAGGCAAAATCACAAGTGTAATAGTCTAGCTAGTGTGCATAGTAATGTATTGTATTCACTGCATTTTGTTAGATACAACTCTTAACACATGTAAAACTAAAATCTGAATGTCAATAACTTATTTTGTTTATTGCTGCCACAAACACGTTAAATCCGTCATTTATTGCCAGATAATAAATATCAATTTATTTTTAATACTTTTTTAACTGTTTAAATTATAGCATGGTTAACTATTAATATCCCTAGTTCAAACTCTGCAAAACTCTGATGAAAATTACAAAGTTATTGTTAGAACTGTAATGGTATTATAAAGTACTTCAATTGATACTCAGTACTGGCAAATACCCAAATGAAGTACGGGTACTTGGTCTGAAAATCGGTGCATCTCTAATTTAAATGTTATTTCTCCCAAAGTTGATAAAACGTTAACACTGACTTATTGCCCATAACTTCAATATTAGAAGGAACTGAGTTATAGGCACACAATTGATCCAACTAATCTCCAAACCACAAATTGAAATAGACAATGCTGCGATGTCTGATCTTAGGTTTAAATGTTTAAAAATGGAAACCCCTTCCCTCTGTTACTCTACTTAAGTTAATTTGTGGTTTAGGGTCAGTGCACAGATGTTAGTCTTGCCTGCAGAATAGCTGATTATTGCATCAAAAGGCTTAAACATTGCATCAGTTTGTTGGATAGACAAAACAAATGCTACATGAATGTCTAGCCCGCATAATTCCAGCCAGTGTCCAAAATGAACACCTGCAAAGTGCAAGGACAAATCTACATTGGCGGAGAAAATAAAAAACGCCTACTTTACTACAAGGTTAGCATCGACTCTGCACACTGGTGGCGGCATGCAACTTATATAATTGTATTGTTATTCTTTGGTTAATCCTCCCTGACCATTGTCACAACAGTTACGGTTAAATTATCTAGCTCGCTAACCGGCTTGATTACCAGTACCACCGGTACCACAGAGGGAACATTGTTAGAGCAGATCAACTTAAAGGAAAAAAAATCAAGATCATGGTGGAAGTTCGGTTTGAAGAACATTAACAGAGAAGTGAAGCTTCACAGAAGGGGGCGAGATTGTATTTTTTTAGGTTAGCAATGGCAATACAATGGTCGGTACTCAGCAAATAGGACCTGCTCGTTTGTTTGTGTATGCAGTTTTATGGCCTGTTTGAAAAATATTCTGGCTGGAGAATTATTTTTTAGTTTAAGTTAATTTTGGAACTGGACCGCGGCTCAGGTAGGACTGACACCAACAAGCCTCAAATCCTTTGCTACAATAAGGAATGTCGAGAGGATTGGGAGCCAATGCGTGAAGCGAGCTAAAAACAGCGGTGTATTTAAATCACACACAAAGGTAGAATTATGTGTTCAACTGCACACATACACACGGAGGGAATACACAGACACACCACCTCACCGCACCACTAACCCCGTTGATCCTTCAGAAATCGTCCATGCGCTGACAGAGGGGAAATAAAACAAGTATATCGCTTCTTGTTTCAGCCTCTCTAGACATGGTAATACCACTCTTGATGCTCGCTGCCATTTTGCCGCCGAGCCATGAAGCTTTGTGGTTTGTGTACTCTAATATCCTAAACACAGCACAGCGTGTACAGACACAGTGGAACCATTGCACTGCTTTGAGCTTAGTGCAAAGCTGGATATATACCAGTACTGTACATTAACAAAAAGACAGACAGAGCCATTATACTCAAGAATGTGCAGGTACATAACCACAGGTACATAAACGCAGGTACATAAACACACACAAGCCCTTACGCTTGCCTCACTGGCACATTGAATAGGCCTCATTCAGACTTACCAGCATGGTTGGCAGCCTCAGCTGCGGCTGAATCTTCTTAGCGCTACTGATGGGCTGAGATGAGCTAAAGTGGTAAGCCTGTCTCCATCTACGCAGAGAAGTAAGCCAGTCTGTCATACAAGTGGTCAACATATGCTTTGGGAAACAGCTGCCCCTCTCTCGTCTTTTTGTTTGGGTTGCAAACCTCTGTGGAATGGCCAATTTAGGCCATTAGAGGGTGTGTGCGTGTGTGTGTGTGTGTGTGTGTGTGTATGATTGGATTGGGTCTTGCACACACACACACACACACACACACAGACAGACAGACTAGACTTTCTGAACTTGTTCCAGGCAGGGGGTTCTTCGCTTGACTAGCATGACATCAAAGGCTGTTTTATCCCTTGGCTTTCCGTGACGTCAAATCCCTTCAAGTCCTACCACCCCTGGACCTCTTCCCCAAGTTTTAGGAACGGGATTTCCCTTCGAGATGCTAGATAGCGTTTTTGTTTCTCCAGCTTCAAATACAATTTGTCGAAGACGCTTCCTGTTGCACTTTCAAGAGATTTACAGGGCTTTCGATTTTCTTCTTAAGTTGTCACTGGTCCTTTCTGTTTTACCAACAGTAGATTAGGATACAGTACTCACATTGAGACATACACTCGCTCTGTGGAGATAAAGAGGGTCTGTCTTTTGTGAAAATATGGCACTGTGATCCAGTTTCATACCATACAGTGAATCAATACTATTGAGTAAAAACTATGTGCTAATGTCAACAGTGCACTATTTCGGGAAATTACAAGAAAAGAATGCACTTGAGTGTTTTGTAATAATAAAAACACCATATATCAAATTTAAAAGCATTCTAATCAATATTAGTAATCATACTGACCTTTAAGCATACCTTTTATTGTCACTTATAGTCTGATCACACTACTTCTAACATAAGGTAACACAATGTTTTGTGTTTTGGAACAGTAGCAGTTAGTGATTTAAGATATATTTAGAGGCAGTGTATTCTCCAAAAGTGCCCTTTTCAATAAATAAAACAGGGAGAGGTCATTTAACTGCAGAGGAGAAAGTTCAGATCCAATGTGATTAAATGCTATCCTGTTCTTTTTACCTGACCCCTGTGATTCATGGGTTTGAGTAAAGAGGGCTTGTTCCTTCATTTATCTTCTAAATTAAACCCTTATGTCATATACCGTGGGCTCCTATAACATGCTGAAGCTTCCATGGAACCAAGACTCAATCAGTGTCCAGCAAAGCCGGCTGCAGCTGTTGAGAGCAGGCATCCCGGGAATGTGACAAACAGGAGAAACACAAGTGGCAGTTGAGCCGTTTTCAGATGCATTATTCACACACAGTGAGGCTCTCTAGCACACACACGCACATACACACACACACAGGTCCACCTTTGGCCACACAGGTTAATGAACATCTGCTGTGCATTTTGGAAAATGTATTAGTATGAAACCCTACTGGTTACCACTGTCCGGACAAGTAACCTCTGTTCCTTTAAACCACGACTTACACTTTATTCAAGGAGGATTTCAAAGTCAAATTGAATATTTTCAATGTCGTGCTGCTTCTGGGTCATAGTAACTCTCATATTACTTATCAGATTGATCGGATTTCTGTGTGCAATGCTAGACATACTTGTTTGTGTTATGGCAAGTATCTTCATTTATATTATACTATCCAGACTAACACAATTAATATATGGCAGAGAAAACTCCTCGACTATCTTAAACATGTCTTCTGAGGCTGCAAACCTCTCTTTTAAAACAGACTTGTAAAATCACACAGAATGCGCACGTACCCGTTTTTTGTGAAGACGAAAGCAGTCCATATCCTCAGATCCTTCTCAAAATCCTGAACATTACAGCCATGAAATCAAAACTCCAGCGGCACTCAGAGTGTCTGCAGAGCTGGCTGAGCCAGCATACAGTATCCTACCACATCCTGTGTTTCTACACACACACACACACACACACACACACTGCTGTTGCCTTGACAGGACTGAGGGGAAAAGTCTAAATGCAGTCTTTGAAAGAGACGGTTATACACATTTAGCTTCACTGGATTATCAGGAAAATAAAATGCGTCAGGAAACTTTGCCCTTGTATGAGGAGAGACAAAAAATTGTGTCTGTATGTATATATATACAGTATATATGTGTGTGTGTGTGTGTGTATGTGTGTGCGTGTGTAAGTGTGTGTTCCATAGTGGGACAGGGGGCAGCTGTTGCCGCCTAAAAAAACACTTGTGTGACTAATGTCGTGCCAACAGCAATGTCAGACTGGAGGTAATAAAAGAAGCATTTAAAGAGGTTAACGCCCACATAACACTCTCACTGTATGGAACTCCCACACTATGAAACCCCAAAACATATACTGTGCATACTGAGGGATGATACTGATTAAGAGCTACACATCAACTCTTTCAGATGTCTAGACTGTCACAGGAAATAGAAAGTAAAAGCTCATTGTCTGTTCCAGTTCAATGAGTCAGATGGGCGAAAAAAGGTTGAGAAAAAGGAGGGCGGACAGTGTTGGAACACCAACCAGGACCCAGTGACCCAGAGACCCAGAGACACAGCAAAACAACAAACATCAAAGGTCGGAGAGAGGATAGTGCATGTGTGTGTCTGTACAGGTGTGTGTGTGTGTGCGGCCTTACCTCCACTATCTCTGTGCAGGCATGAGAGACGAGGTGCTGCTTGTGGGGATCTATGACTGCCACCTGGACCAAAGCATTGGGCTTCCTGTCACTGCCCGAGGCCACCAGATCATTACAGGCTACAGAGAGGGAGGGAGGCGAGGAGAGGAGAGGATGGAAGGAGGAAGGAAAAGAGGAAGAAAACCGAGATGAGAGGGGTTAAGTCATACAAATCACGACACTGAGTGTGGAGAATGTGACAATAAATAAGAAAATAACAAGTTAAATAAAGAGGGAAAAAAAGAGAAGAACGGCTAAGGTAGAGGATTTATAAATATCTTCAATCAGATTAGATGCCACATGTCAAAGCACTGAAGAGCTGCATCACCACAAAGAAAAAAAGAAGATAAATACGCTGTCCTCGCTTCTCTGAGGCCTCTCCTCAAAACACAATAAAAGTTTAAGGAAATTAATGAAATATATATATATATATATATATATATATATATATATATATATATA